GAGAGAGTTCCTTAGCGATCTACCGTGTAGTTGTCCTTTAGTCGATGGCAGCCAGGAGCGGAAACGTGACGATTGTCTGATTTTGGTTGCAAAGTTAAGGCATAGGTCGTGTCTACGATCAGACAGAGTTTGTAGGTTCAGGGTCTGCAGGGCGTCCATGTATGTAGTGTAGTGACGGCCTAGCATAATCCTACAGGCCCGTTTTTGAACCCGTTCAAGCCGGTTGACTTGTCTGATGTTAAGGGCAGCATTCCAGACGGGTACCGCGTATTCAAGGAGTGGTCCGAACGTATCCGCAGTAGATAGCACAGAGGGCGTCTGGTGGGAGACCAGCCCGCCGCAATCTACCGAGGAAAAATAGGCGTTTGCTTCCCTTGGACACCATACTGTCAACTTGAGAGTCCCATCCAAGATCCGACTGAATCTGGATTCCAAGTAGTCGTGCTTGCTTCACCACACTAAGCGTCTGGCCTCCTAGCGTTAGGACTGGGTCAGGTGGAGGAGATTTCATGAAACATATTTGCAGTACTTTACACTTTTTGGGGTTTAGAAGCATGTGGTTTCTATCCGACCATTCGTCTAGGTTGTTCAAGTCATTTTGTAGGGATGAAGGTGAGCATATCGGTCGGTTTTCGCCCAAGTTGAGGTCGTCGACATACTTCCAATATTCACTGTTTGGTGTTCCAGCGTCATTAATCACGGCCAAGAAGATCAGGGGTCCTAGCAAAGTTCCCTGTGCCACCCCACAGGTAAGTGGTTCCCTGTCCGACAGGACCTGCTGGTAACGGACTCGTGTACGGTGCGAGATAAAACTACAGACCCAGGAAACGGGTGAAGGTCGTGCACCCATCTGTACAAGTTTTGTAATCATTGTATGGCAGACTCTATCAAATGCCTTGCTAAAATCCGTCATAACCAGGTTACTGACAAATTGCTTGTTCTCTGCACCTCTGAAGAGAAAGTCAAGAATTTCAACCAAGCAGTGAGTTGTGGAGACGCCTTTGATGTTTCCGAACTGCCTCATGTCAACACTCGGCATAATGTCACGAAGGAGCCACGGGAGTACGAAGCCCTCCGCTACCTTGGCAAATTGTGACGTCAGCGACACCGGTCTGATCTTAGGTCTGCTGGCTGTTCCTTCGGGACGGGGATGACAATCGCGTCCCTCCACTCAGGTGGTACACTGCCTTGTTGAAGAGATGCGTTCATGATATCGGTAAGGGGCGTAGCAAGTTCATAAGCAAACTCTTTTATTAGGGTAGGCGGGATAGCGTCTGGACCTGGGGCTTTTCTTACTTTGACCTTTTTCAGGCAGTGGTACATTTGCCAAGGTTCGATTTGGGGCGGCGGACTAGTCGGTAAGAATGTCGGGAGTTTGTCCCGGTCAAGCGGAGGCAGAGCCTGACAGATTGTGGCTAGGTGCCCGTTGATAGCTCCGGCTACGGTACAGATGTCTGGCTGGTTCACACCTGGAACATGGACAGTGGAAGCGGGTTTGGAGAGGTTAGCCAGGCGTCGTACTTGTTTGTGCCACTCAGAAGGGTCGGTTTTCTTCAAACTGTCGACATGATCTCTATAGAACTCTTTTACAAACTGGCGCGATACGGCTCTGGAGCATTGCGCGAGTGTCACTCAGCACCTTCAGCTTAATGGCCCGACGTGGATCTTGTTGTAGATAATGTAATAACAGCTCAACCTGTAACAATGCAGGCATTGGTCAAATTACCCGTATGATCATGTCTTGCACAAAGTATGCTGATGGCAACACCTACAGATGACAAGAAGGAATACGAAGTACATCTGTACTAGTAAGATGCACCTTTTGAGATCCTTCAGTCTTTGTGACATGAATAGGATAAAAAACATGTCATTGAGTAACTGAGACAGCATATGCAGTGGGACACACTTAGTCACTCAACCAGTGTTCAAGCTGACCATTTTGCTACAGCCTCAAGTTACAAATACTCAGTAGCACAGATGTCTGAAGCCTACTTCTTTCGCAAAACAGACAGACATGTTAGCAGACTCACCTGCTGTGGGATGTCAATCAGAGTCTTTATAGCAGACAGCAGTGAGAGTGTGTGGAGGGTGACTATGACGAACCCACGGGCAGGGTATTAGGGCAGCATGTCCACACACAGCTGCCGCACCTTGGCTGCTGTCTGAGCATCATGATGCATGTGCTGGGAGATGGGGATCAGTTTCAGCTTCATCTCAACTGGAGTGGCAAGACCTGTGGCAATGGTAGGGATAGATGTCAATGATAAAAAATTGATAGTTTCTTTTTACATTTTTAGAAGTTTGTGGAATAATACATTTGTAGCAGTGTCAACAAAAATACTGTGAGTAAAAATATGAGGTAAATGCAAAGAAACTTTTCAAACCTTGAATCATCTCTGCTATCTTGTTGCAAATTCCAACAGCAAATGTTCTGAGGAAAGATTACACGAAGACATGTACTAGTAAGTCGATAAAATAAACCTAAATGAAAGGGCACAAATGCCTGGTGGTCCCTCCATACTAAGTCAGTGCACACATCTCATCCTAATTCAGAAATTGTAGCTATAATATGAGAAATTCCTGCAACTTATGATACCTGGACTGAGCTGCGAAACAAGATGCAGCAAATATTGCTGCCTCCAGCTCCACTTCATCATGGGAGTCCAGACTGGTGCGGATGCTGTGATGAGTGTTCTTCCTTTCACTGATGATTCAGGCAATGCTGCCCAAAACCCTGCACAATTATTGCAATTGATTGTAAATATAATAACAGCAATTCACTGTCAACAACACAAAACAATCTTGCTTCGGCTGTGTTGAAAAAAAACAACAACACACACATATTTCACTGTTGACACACAAGATACAAAAATTTTGTTACCGTGATCAAATCAAATCCGGATAAGCCTTGCCGTGGACGACTCTGTAACCCTTTTTGCATGATAATGCCGGGTTCATATGAACCCTACTATGAACCCGGCATTATCATGCAAAAAGGGTTACAGAGTCGTCCACGGCTAGGATAAGCCTTGCTTTCAAATGGCATTAGGGCTCTAAGACTCAAAGAACAGACCTACAGGATGTGATTTCTACATCAATATTGCCTCACCTCAAAGTAAGTTCCCTGGCGATGGGGTCATTGCTGTGGATGACAGAGAAGATACGCCTCAAGAATTCATCCACATTCAGAATCTTGTCCAGATGTTTTTCGCTCTGCTGGGTCACACGTAGGACACACAGACGCAAAAAGTTTTTTCTTGGGGAAGAAAATAGATCTAGTTTACGGAATGACAAATCTGCATACCAGTGCAATAAAGCAATGAACAAGGATACTAGTTACCTGGACATGCATTGCTGGATGTATCAATAGCTATGAATAGTATTAGTAGATCTAATTGGTGAACTTTCCAAGTCTTAGATACTTACCCTATTCTGAAGACATCTGCGAGCTTCGGGAAGGATGAGTTGATGAGGATCGGGAAGGGGTACTTCTCAAAAAGCCTTGGAAAGGTATTTTGGGTACCCCAAACGAGGTTTTGCACGAGTATTAGCACGCGTGCAAACCACGTGAGTTGAGTAACCTTACGTCGTGCAAATCCTCATATTCGGGTCCCAGTATATACCTGCCTAATCCAGAAAATTTGGACCCAGTCGATCCCGGAAATCATAAGTATATCCCAAATTTACAAAGATTATAGATATTATGAATCATAAACAAATTTACTTCATGTTAAC